TATTTAAAAAATTAAAAAATTAACCTGAATCTATTAAAAATAAACAGAAAAAAATATAAAGAAAGGAACCATGACATAATTAAAAGAGTGATCGACACATCACGAACAAATTTACAAGATTATAAGAACAAGTCCAATCATAATTAACAATCCCAGAGTCACAGATTCAACAAAAAGAAAATGCAATCCCTAATATTATTAAAGAATCTAAAATATGAAAATTTGACGTATATTCCATGACATAATTGAAAGAGCGATTGCTATGAGCAACACATCACAAACAAAATTACAGAATTACAAAAACAAGCAGTCCAATCATATACCGTACGCAAAGATGAAGTAGAAAGAAAAGGACAATCCCCAATATTACTTAAGAACCTAATATATGAAGATTTCGTATATTACAGGGCACGATTGAAAGAGTAATTGCCATGGGCTAAACAACACAAAAAAAAAAAAAAATACAATACTACAAGAACAAGTCTAATAGAAATGATGAGAGAGAAAGGTAGAGAGAGAACAAGAAGGGATAGAGACGGACAGGATTCACGGGCAAGGCGAATGGCATTGAATCGGGAGCATGCAGAATCTCATGGAAGAGGTCACCAATGGAGAGGGGAGCCAGCGTCCATGGGGAGATTGCAGAATAATCAATACCAGGTTCGGAAACAGAAGGAAGATGGGACATACAACTGGGGTCTCTACAAACAAGCCACATCATATGTCTTTACCAATTGTCCAGACGATTGGAGCTACGAAGATATGTGGAGAACGTTCTTGAAATATGGACGAGTTTATGACATCTACAGCCGAAGTAGAAAAAGCAGGAACGAGAGTAAATTTGGCTTTGTGAGATTTTTAGAAGTGAAAGATAAGAAGGAATTAGAAAGGCAGCTAGACCAAATCTGGGTAAGGGGCAAAAACTTTGGGTAAATATGCCATGATATGGCGATGAGAACAAGGAAGCAAGGCAGAAAAGAAACAGTAGAGAAATGGTGACAATGGGCCATAATAGAAGCTACATGGAGGTAGTGAAAGGTATGCAAGAAAGTAGTGGGGAGGAGGAGAAGAGAACACAGTGTAGAGATGGCCAAATTAATTACCGAAGGACTGATACTGAAGATAAGAAGTATATAGAGCAAGACAAACAGGGGAGTTACAATGGTAAAGGCGAACTCAGATACCGGCAATCGGTAACCAGGAAAATTTGGAAGGAGAGATGAATGGGAGAAAAACAGGCCGGCATGGAGTATAACAGCAAACTTGAAGAGCATGCTTGGCTAGATGGCTGCTATGTCGAAACAGTTCACTCCGTGGAGATGGTGCGAAATTTACAAGAAAAGTTTTACATGGAAGGGTACTTTTCTTGTCAAATGCGAGCAATGGGAGGCAAATTGGTTCTGTTAACATGTGAAGATAAAGAAGACCGAAGGACTTGGTTGAAATGGCATCAGATTGGCTAAGGTAGTGGTTTGTAGAGGTGCGTCCATGGACACCAAAAATGGTGGCAAATGAGAGATTTGTATGGATAAGGTGTCAAGGGGTACCATTGAATGCCTGGGAAATTGATTTCTTTTCAACCATGGGCTGTTCATGGGGAAAATTCATTTGCTTGGATGATAGTACAAGCAAAAAAGAAAAGGTTTGACATTGCTAGATTTTTTATCTCTACACCAATTATGGAGACAATCACAGTCACAAGGCAAATCAAGATTAATGGAAGCATGTACCGTGGGAAATTTACAGAGGAAGAATTCACAAATAGCTTATTTTCTCTTAAACAAGATTTTATGCTTTCTTTTAATAGTGAGACAGAGTATCGTGAAACATGGTCTACTAGAAGTGACTTAGCGATGCAGGATATAGAAATTGATGAGAAGAATGAAGAAGATCAGGTCGGGTGCTCAATTGAAGAAGATGATGACGTGGTGCCACGTATGAAAGAGGGAGGGAGAAAACCTTCGGTACAAGCCAGCAAGGAGGAATGGGAATTAGCAGAAACAGGGGATAATAGCTTGGAAGAAATTCAAATTTCGAATGCTGCTGCTAGAAGTACAAGGTTAGGCGGGATGACAAAAAGATAAGGGATCTAGGATTCACTGACGGACAGTATAGAAGAAGTTGGAGAAAAAAGGGACCACAAAATGAAGCCCAATAAGCAGCCGGATGAGAAGCCCATCCCACAAAAAGAAAGCCCAGAGGGAGAGGAATCTACAAACATGGGTCTGGCCCAAGTTAAAATGGCAAAGGTGTATCAAATTACAAATGAGGAAAGGGGCTCATTTAGAAGCGAAGAATCTAGAAATGAAAGCAGTGGCGTCGATGAAGATGTTTTCTAGAAGGGGCACGAAATGGAAAGAGGACGCATAAAAGACTGGATTGGCAAATAGCTAGAGGAGATAAGTTTGAAAAGGAAAAGGAGGGTGAGACGATGTAGCTTGGTGTATTTAGAAACTAATGAAGGGGCTATAAGAGCAAAAAGAAAAAAAGAAAGAGGGAAACAGAGCACGCAACAAACGAAAGGAAGACCAACTCCAACATTCCTATCGAACCCAAATGGAAAAGTTGCCGAAGATTCAGTTAGAGACAATGGTATACAGAATTGTAACAGATCTTTGAAGAAGTAGTGGCAAAACCAATTGGCCAAAGAGATTTGGGATTTGGTGACACAACCCGGAGCAGTGGCCAGAGGACGATAACGAGTTGATCCAAAGAATTGAGGAGATGGAGATTAGGGACAGACAAGCAAGCTTAACCATGGTGAACCGAGACAATGAAGATAACAGGAAGGTATGTAAAGATCTCAATGATATTGTTGTCATTTAATATTAGAGGTCTTGGAGGGGATGGGAAAAAAAGGCAGATTAGGGAGTTAGTTACAAAAGAAAGAATACAATTTCTAGCAATTCAAGAGACTAAGATGGAAGCAGTAGATAGAAAAATTTGCAAAAGCTTATGGGGGACAGATGATCTGGAATGGGTTACAAAGCCATCTAATGGCAAGTCAGGAGGCTTGCTTTGTGTCTGAAATTCCAATGTACTCAAGAAAAAAGAGGTTATAGAGGGAGATAATTTTATTGGGGTGTTTGGTTTGTGGGGGGCAGAAAAAACACCCGTGTACATAATAAATGTATACTCACCTTATCAACTCACAGGCAAGAGAGCCTTATGGGAGGAGTTGCAAGGCTTAATTACTAGCAGAAGGGGGAACTGGTGCTTAGCAGGGGATTATAATGCTATGAGAAGTGTTGAGGAACAAGCAGGGTGTACTGTGACTACTAATGAAATGAGGGAATTTGATGCTTTTATCCATAACACAAGATTGATTGATTTGCCATTAGTGGGGAGAAAATAGACCTTGTATAATTCTAATGGGCAATACATGAGCAAGATTGACAGATTTTTATTACCCGAAGAATGGACCACAAAATGGAGTGATGTGAAACAGTGGGGATTGAGGAGGTCAGTTTTAGACCACTGTCCTATTTTGCTAAAGAATGAATGTGTTAACTGGGGCCCAAAACCATTCAAATGTTTTGATGCTTGGCTTGAACAACTAGGATGCAAAGAGGTGATCACAAATGCATGGATCAACAATGAAGTGAAAGGGTGGAACAGATTTAAACTCAAGGAAAAACTGAAAAGAACAAAACAAGAACTTAAAGAGTGGAGTTGTAAAACGAACACAGAGATGGACAGCAAGATAAAGGAAGTCGAAACTGTTATTGCTGCAATAGATGAGAAAGGAGAGCAGAATCAATTGTCGGCTACTGATGTAGAGAAAAGGAGAAACAACTTTATTGATCTGTGGAAGAATTTGAGAATTAAGGAGAGGATGTGGCAACAAAAATCAAGGAAGCTATGGTTAAAAGAAGGTGACGCGAATAAAAAATTCTTCCATAGATGTGTGAAAGGAAGACGGAGAAGAAACGAGATCAGTAGTGTCCAGATCAATGGAAAACAACATACAGAAGTGGAAGAAATAAAGGAAGAGGTTGCTAAGTACTTCCAAGAAATGTTTGCAGAAGAAAAATGGAAGAGACCTAAGCTAGATGGGATAAGCTTCAAGCAAATAACAAAGGCAGATAATGAGCTTCTCACGGCAGCATTCTCGGAACAGGAAATTAAAGAAGCAATATGGAATTGTGACTCATCCAAAGCTCCAAGTCCAAACGAATTCAATTTCAAATTTATAAAGACGATATGGGAGGTCATAAAACCAAATGTGGTAGGCTTTGTACAAGAATTCCAAGAACATGGCAGGCTCGTTAGAGGGTCAAATGCTTCTTTCATTGTGTTAATCCCAAAGACAGAAAGCCCCCAAGGAATTGAAGAATACAAACCCATTTCACTAATAGGAGTTATGTACAAAGTCATCTCAAAATTACCAGCAAAACGATTGCGAAAGGTGTTACCCAAGGTAATCGGGGAGTAGCAGATGGCTTTAATTGAGGGAAGACAATTAGTGGATGGAGGAGTGATTGCAAATGAAGTTATTGACGAAGCCAAAAGGAAGAATAAGTGTTTTCTATTTAAAGTCGACTTTGACAAAGCATATGACAAAGTGTGCTGGGAGTTTATAGACTATATGGTGATAAGGATGGGGTTTACTGCAACTTGGAGAAAATGGATACAGGAATGCCTAAAATCAAGCTTTGTTTCTTTTCTCATAAATGGCAACCCGATGAAACAATTCCCAGTTAACAGAGGCATCCGACAAGGTGACCCGTTATCCCCATTCTTATTCTTGATTGTTGCAGAGGGACTGAACAGACTAGTGTCATTGGTAGTGGAGAAGGAATGGTATAAAGGTGTGCCAATTGGCAGTGGAGATGTTATGGTCGCACACCTACAATTTGTGGATGATACCATATTTTTCGGTGAGGCATCAAAAGATAATATTTAGGTGATCAAGTGCATTATGAGAACCTTCAAATTGGCTTCGGGGTTGAAAATAAATTTCGAAAAAAGTCAATTGATGAGAGTGGGAGTAGAACAAAACTGGAGCTCTAAAATGGCATACTGACTGTGTTGTAAAGAAGGAGAGGTCCCATTTAAATATTTGGGAATTCCAATTGGCGGGAGTCATAGAAGAGTAGCTATGTGGCAGCCAATGGTAGAATCCGTTAAAAGGAAGCTAGCTAGTTGGAAGGGTAGACATCTATCTATGGGAGGTTGCATCATGCTCATCAATTTAGTGCTATCAAGTTTGCCCATGTTTTTGATGTTAGTCTTCATAATCCCAAAAGATATAATCCATTCCATTGATAAAATTCGTAAAAGCATTTTATGGGAAGGGAAGGGAGAGGAAAGGAAAATAA